AGTGACCCGTTGAGTGCTCGTCCCCCCCCCCCCCTGCAATGAGAAACAATGCGTTTCTGCAGCCCAAGCAGCACGGTCCTCCAGGCTCCCACCTGAAGGGGCCACAGGAACCACCAAGACGGGAAGGGCTGCTGGTGCCAAAGGCCCAGATGGCCACCCAGCTCTCGGTCACTCTTCCGTCCCCTCCCCTGTATACTCTGCAGCCTGCAACAAGCCTGCCCCAACCTGCTGCCCAGATCTCCTGGGATAAAACCAATGGCTGACAGAAAGAAACAGGCCTGCCCACAGGGGCACAGACAGCACCACCACTTGGGGCTGGAGGCCACGCAGAGGCCCAGGCTTAGTTCCCAGGTGGCCCTGAACACAGTGGCACCGCTGTTCACACCTGTGAGCCAGCCTACTGGGAGACTGGAGCAGACCCCGTCAAAACTGTCTTCTCCCTTTCCCTCCCTCTCCCATGGAAAAGAAGGCGAAGGAGAAAGTAAACAATAAACAGAGCTACCAGGCTCAGAATCACCCCCCAGACCTGTCGTTCTGCCTTCCAAGACAGCCTGCGGTCGACCTGCTCCTCTCCCGCCACTGCCCCGGCTCTGACACCAGAACTCCTGGCCTGATCACCGGAGTGGCCTTTGAACAGCCCCTCCCACCTACTCTCTTCACTGGAGTCACATGACAGTTTTCTAAAACATAGATGATCATCTCCCTAAAACCTTCCAGGGCCCCCAGCCGCCTGGACTTCTCCTTCCCACCCCCAGCTCCGCCCTCACCTGCAGTCCTGCAAACAGGCGTGACTCTCCCCCATCTGAATCTTGCCCACCCTCCCCTCCCATATTCTTCCTACGTTCTGCACCCAGAGGCTGCCTCTTCCAGGAAGGTTCTTTGGATTCTGTAGTAAGAAGTTAGATGGCCTCCAAGGTACTACCAGGGCACCCACAGCGCTCCTGCCATCACAGGGCAGAGCTCCTCATCTGCGCCCCACCCCAGACCATGAGCCCCATGAAGGCTGAGGCCACACCTGCTTGTTCTGACTGCTCCTTGGCACCTAGCCGGCAGGTAACACTCAGGCGATGTCTCCTGAATTACTCAGTGAACGTCCGAAGGCAGCCCGTGCTCCAAAAGCATATGCAGATCCGCCACAACCCAGTCTGGACAGCCAGGCACGGGTGCTGGGGAGGGGCTCTCACGTTCTATATGGGACTTGGGGGAAAACTTGCCAAGGGTTGCAGGATCTGCTGCCCACACACACCCTGAGCCCTCTAGGCCACCGCACAGCACAGGAGCCTCCTGGGGGCAAGGAGGCAGGGATGCCAGGAGGGGAGCCAGCTAGCTCAGGTTCAGGCAGGGCAGAGTAGGGGGAGCCTCTGGGTGTGGGCTCTGCACAAACCAGGCCTGCCCTTCCCTCTGTGCCCCACTGCTCCAGCCGGCTGGCCTTCTCCGGGTACCATTCCACTGTCCTGCTTGAACAACCACCCCAGCTCACCCCCACTTCTCCTCCAGCTCCCCCCCCCAGCCTCTGTCTCTCCCGGCCTTCTCCAACAACAGCCATCGTGCAAGCAGGAGGGCTCCGAGCTCAGGTTCTAGTTCCAGGGCAGAAGGACATAGAGCTGGCCAGTCCCCCCCCCACTCACCCACCCCCCGCCTTACCCTCGGTCAGCCCCAGGTGGATGCTCCAGTAGATCTGCAAGCACTGCAGCTCCTTCTTCATGCCGCGCTTGCAGCGGCAGTCATACAGCGGGCTCTCCTGCAGAACCTCCAGGGCCGCCTGGCACTCCTTGTTGGCCAGCATGGTGTTGCGGTCCCGGCCGGCCAGGCACTGCCGCAGCGTGCGGTAGCGGGAGCTGCAGTTGGACTCCGCTGCGCACAGCTCATTGGCCCGGACGCAGTCCACTGGGGGGCGCCAGCCGTGCAGTTCGGGGCCCTGCAGGGAGGAAGGGCTGGCCAAAGAGCGGAGGGTCTCGTCTGGGTGGTGGGGAGGGAAGACAAGCATGAATGAGGGCCGCCAGGATCTTCCACCCAAGACGCAGGCCTGGGGGTGGGCCCTGCTGGGAACCAAGGAGTTCTCGGGCTGCCCTTCTCCCCTGAGAATGTCTTTGCCGGTTCCACTCTATCCCTCCTCCCACCACTGTGCTCCCAACAAAGCCAGGGAGGCCCTTTCTCAAGATCATGGGCCATCTCAGAAGGCCAGAGGCAGGAAGGATGTCCCAGGACCTTGGCAGAGAGAGGGAGCCGGGCACAGGGCTCCCTGCAGTGGTCGAGCGGAAGAGGACCTGCACTAGAGGCTAACTACCCAGGCCTTCTCCAGCCTCTGCTCCAGCCAGAGGCCCCAGGCCCTGTCGTGAGCCTGGCAGGCGGCAGGTAACTGTTCTTTCTCAGCCTGTGCAGACCTTAGAGAGAACTAAGGTGGGCTTCAAAATCCCATGGAAAGGCTTACTGTGAAAAACACCTGTGCACAGAACGCAAAAATTTTTCGCACCAAAATAAACTCGTGGTGGCCTAGCCTCTGTAACACAGTTGGTGGCTTATGGAACTGGAAGCTACATGCCGACCCTGGTTCGAGTCCCAGCCTGCTTGGCCTGGAAACATGCCAGGTGCACATGGACATGCCCAGGTTCCTGGAGGCCTGAGGGATGGGGATGGCCACACCCGTGGAGGGTCCCCCCCCCCTCGCCCGGGTGGGCCCCCCCCCCCCTCTCTCTCTCTCTCTCTCTCTCTCTCACCCATACACACGCACTTTATCATGAGTTTCTTTTAAAATAAGCTCATACTTTAATTCCATTATTTCAATGAATTGTTTTGAAATCCCCTATAGGGTCCAGCCCCCACATTTTACCCTAGGGAAACTGAGCCCCAAAGAAAGGAGAAAACAACACGAGGTCATGCAGAGGTGGAGCAGCCCCTCAGGCTCAGAGTCTTCTCATTTGGAGATGCTGGACTTTAGAGAAGGCAGGGGGCGGCCTTCCAGGTCCAAGGGTGCCAGGAAAAAGGAGCTACCTTCCCCATCCAGCCTCCCCTCTGCACTTTCGGGCCTGACTTCACACCAGAGGAGACCTGCAAACTTGCCTCCTAACCCAGCCCCTCCAAAAAACTGCTCAGGCAATGCGGACCAGCTTGGGGGGGGCCTCTGCTCCCCCTCCCCTCTCCCATGCCATGGTTTCTCTCACTGACTTTCTCCCAGAGGTCTGTCTCCACCACCTTCTCTCTCTCTCTCTCCCTCTCACCTCTCCTCTCTGAAGCCCTCTCCCCCTCTATTTTTTCTTCCTCCCCAAAGCCAAATAATACATCAATAGCAAAAAAAAAAACAAAGCCAAATAATACATCAATTGCAAAATGGAAAGAGCCCTCCTGGCCCCTGTGAAGACCAACAAGCACCCGGCAGCCCACCCTCCTAACTGGTTACTCCAGTGCCCAAACCCACAGAGCTTCAGAGGGAGGGGTGGGAAGGGAGGGCGGGAGGGGCTGGCAGGACCCCTCAAAACCCAGCTCCCAAGATGGTTTCCTCTGGGTGCAGACGTCGCCTTCCCAGTCTACCCCCAACTCCAGAGCCTACCCAGGAAAGGCCCAGACCATAGCCAGAGTGCAACTGTCTTTTCTAATTACTCCAGTGCCCAAACCCACAGAGCTTCAGAGGGAGGGGTGGGAAGGGAGGGCGGGAGGGGCTGGCAGGACCCCTCAAAACCCAGCTCCCAAGATGGTTTCCTCTGGGTGCAGACGTCGCCTTCCCAGTCTACCCCCAACTCCAGAGCCTACCCAGGAAAGGCCCAGACCATAGCCAGAGTGCAACTGTCTTTTCTAAGACCCAAAGAGTGCTTTGGGAGGCCTCCTTCCCACCCTCCCACCCACCACATCATAAAGTCCTAGGCCAGAAGTCCCCCTCGCACATACCGCAGAATCACCCCACCCACCCCTACCCAGAACAGCCACTCGCTCCTTCCCTTGGGAGGCCCTGCTCAGGGGGGAGCTACCGCAGGGAGACAGCGACACCTAGAGGCAGAACACTGAATAGCAAGCCCATCACTCCTGAGAGCCTGAAGCCACTCCTGGAGGGACCAGGGGCAAGGGGCCTGCCCTGCAAGAAGACAACAGAGAGGAGGGGCCGTGAGAAAGCCTGGGGGCCAGAACAAGACACTTCTTCTCCCATCGACCAGACCCGTGCCCCAGATGGGAGGAGCTGAAGGAGGTGGCCAGCTGGGGCAAGAGCCGAGAAGCCAACAGCTGTGTGAGGCGGGGCAGGGGGTGCCTGCCAGGCCCGCTAACAGTGACCTCCACCATGCTGAGGCAGCAGCTTTCTTCCCTGGCTTCAGCAGATTCCTACATCCCAGAGCAGGACCCGGAGCACCTGGACTACCCAGGAGCAGGAGCAGGAGCAGCTGAGCCCATGGCCGCGTGCACCTGCAGTCCGCACCGGCCAGCTGCCCTGCTGAAGCCTCGGGAGTATCCCAAGGCTCTCCACTGACCTCAGCCCTGCTCCCCAATGGGCTGCTCCCCCAGCCCCACCCAGCAGGCTGTGTCCTCAGGGGGCAGGCAGAACATTGGCCCGGGGATTGGGCCTCAGGGTCACTTACCCACCTGCCTGCAGTGGGCCTGGAGCCAGCACGATCCTCACACCATCCTAAGGAGACTCCCTGCCAAAAACCAGGGCTTCCCCCATCCTGCCCACTGGCACAGGTGGTGGGGGAAGGGACGTGCTTGCCAAAGTCTGGAACGTTGCTCACCAGACTATGCCTGACCCCATAACCAGCTCCATCACCCCCATAACCAGTCATGCGGGCGTGGAACCTGAACCTTTAGACAAGACCCCGAGAGTGAAGGGCAAAGGGTACCCTGGTGAGGTTTCTGATCCTAGCCAGGAACACTTGGACTGGTAGACGGTCAAGTGGAGCAGCTTCTGGAGACACGGGGACCCAGAGACAGGAGCCCCACCTGCCCTCTTGCAGCCAGTGTCCCCTCGAGAGCTGGGACACATGCCCTCCAGCCAGCCCCAGGCCCGCAAGCCACCTACCCTCTCACTCTCTCCCTGAGCACACCAACAGCCCAACGGCTGGGCAGGGAAAGCTTCGCTTCACCCCAGACTCAGCTGGAATCTGGGAGGGTGCACGGAAGCCACTGCTCCCAGGTGCCCACATAGCCATGCCCTGCCAGGTCTCGGCTCCAGAAACCCTCCCCACCCCACCCCACGCAGGATTTCCAACCAGCTCCCAACGCTGGGCTCCTCGCCAAGAAAAGGCGCTGGACTGAGGGCCCCCCCACCAGCTGCCCAGCCCGTCCTTTCAGCCGGCCTAACCTAGACCTTCCAATGTCCTGTGGCCACTCAGGGACACCCTCAGCTCAGCTCTGAGGAACTAAAGGGCTCTGACCTCCTCTCCTGCTCCCCCGTCCTCCCACCACTCAGCCCCAGGGCCGCGTATCCCAGGGTAGGCATCCTTGATCACCCGCCGTGCACACACGCCCCCCATGACAGGATCCCCATGCCACTTCTGGAAAGAGGAGAGTCAGCTCAGCTGGGGACCACTCGCCTGCTGCACCAGGGTCTGACTGCCCCACCATGATGCCCATCCCCTGGACCTGCCGCCATTGGGCAGGTACCACAGCAGCGGGTAGTCTGGCCACTTTGCCTAATGTGCGATTTTCTTTTCCTCTTGGTTTTCAGACCAAGTGGGTCAGGCTGGCGTGGTCCTTCAGAATGAGGTCCAGCTGCCAAAGGGCACCCAGAGGTTCAGAGCACCCTGGGCCAGAGCACCTGCCTCCTTTACTTGGCCTCTCCCACAGGGACCCAGGACAGACAGGGCAGAATGGGCCACACCCCAGAGCAGGGCCAGGCTCTGGGGAACTGGAGCCTAGTGGGGTAAGGCAGGAGGAGGGCACAGGCCCTGCCCGGCCCACACTGCGTCCCACTGACTCCATCCATCTGTCAGGTGCTTTGGAGACCATGCTCTGCACGGCCCTCCGTGGCCACATCTACCACCCCTCGGCCTGCCAGGGCCCTGCTGGCCAGTCTGCCTCCCCACTGGTTCACAGCAGGCCAGGGTGGCGGGAGCAGCACCACACAGAATCAGCTGTGAGCTCCTTGGACCGACAGGGACACACATGCATGAATACACACACACACAGAAGCACGCACTCACTGTCGCCGGGCTCCCTCTATGGAGAGCCTGCTCCAAGCTCAGAGACTTGGCCTGGGACTCCTGGCCTCACACAGCCCTGCAAACACCCTCTCCCCTCTCCCCTCCCCCCACCGGAGGCTCTCCAGACCCGGCCCAAGCAGAGATGTCACAGCAGAACCAGAGCTAGCTGGGGACTCCGTGGGGAAGAACTGCCCAGGTCTGGGATCCAGGCAGCCCTCCTGCCTGCCCTGAGAGGAGAGGGCTTGCGGAAAGAGCAGCGGTCTTTGTCCGGATCCCTCCTCCTCCTCGCCCTGACCTTCTTCGCCCTGGCCCTCGGAAGCAAACTTTGGCCTCCCTCCCGGATTCCCACCAGCTGTCTCCGGTGCCCAGAGGCAGAGGCAGCGAGGGTGCTCACAGCCCTCCACTCCCGCCCACCCATCTTGCTCGGCGCTGGGTGGGAGGAAGGGCCAGGGTGGGAAGAAACTTTAAAGTGTTCCAGGGAGTGGAGCGGCTGGGGAAGGGCTCTGGCAATGGGGAGGGGGCTGCAGGCTCCAGGGGCTGATAGCAGGTGGGGGTGCTGCAAACGCTCCCCTACGACGTCCCAGCTGAGCTCCTGAAGAAACCCGTGCCCTCCACCGAGGTGGACTCAAGAAGCCGGCCGGGAGGGGTGGGACTGCGAGATTTTCCTCTCAGGCCGCGGAGCCGCTCCCCTTCCTCCTCTTTCAGATCGGGGTTTGGCTTTCTCCCCGTAAGTTGCCGCAATTTGGACCCGTTAATAGAGGGAAGTGCGTGCTGTCATGGTGTGTGAGTGTGTGAGAAAGAGCCGATTTGGGTGTGCTAAGTCTCCTTCCAATCCC